CCCCCCCCCCCCTCTCCTTTCTAAGGATAATATTGGTTTTCTTTTCTTCTTTGTTACTAGTAGTTCCCTCTTCAATTATCTCGTATTATTTTTGCCTTTTTTCTGTTTGCTCGGTTATGATTTCTCTGAATAATTCAGTTGAGAGGTAAGAAGTATGAACTGGCTCAACCCTCCCGAACAGCCAAAATCGCGGGAACGGTGAACTATACCGGAAAGTGAGGCGTAAAATCCCGATGGGATCTCACAGTCTGTTACCAACACACAGAGGGAAGAGATGTCAGAAATTGAATATAAAAATAAATATAAAATGTGCAAAGGAACTAAATTAAAGATGGGTCAAAATAGAATATTACAAAATGGGGGCAAAATCCGAATGATCGAATTGGAAAGGGGAAACATTCACTAATAGGAGGTTTTTGCTGGGACCCGACGCCGCAGAAGTACAAGTCGTCAACGGCCAAGGCAGTTGGCGATTCCAAGGAGAACAGAGCGAAGGAACCCGGCTGGGCGGTCTACTTCCCCCGAGACGTGGGCCTGATCGAAGAAAGGCAATAAAGGGTAAAATAAGGGAAGGAAAATGGAATAAACAAGAATAATGGAGAAAATGTGATCACAGATTAGTGGCCCCCCTCCTCTTCTGCGTCATTGCCCGCAGCTTGTGACAAGGCTTATACCTCAACGCAGAAAGTAAGTAATTCAACCTGAAAGGGAGAGAGAAAGAAGGAGAAAGCCTTGTTTGCTTGGTCGACCGGCCGTAGTGGGAAATCAGAAGTGGGTAAAGTGGTGGCCAGTGCAACCCCGACTAGCAGCCGATAGACCTGATCTCCATCATGGTAGTAGATCTTAAATGGGGTAAATGTATCTCAAGCTCCGTCGAGTTTGGAAAAATGTGAGAATGGAGATTAGTGAGGTTCGGAGAAACGAGTGATATCAATGCTCCGGAAGGAAGAGGGGATGGGGGGTTCCGGCTTCGATGGGTTCCCACCAAACTGGTGATGAATGACTGAATGACTAGTATGGAGTACTGTATCTTAGTACTTCTCCAGTCAACTGTTCTGTGCTGGTTAAGATTTAGCTGGGAGTATGGTCTTCCATTCTTAGTCTATTTTGTTTTATTTTATTTTTATTATTATTTTTTTTTTAATCTTTCTTTTCCCCTGATTATCCTAACCTGATCATTTAATTATCATTGATGATCTTCTAACTGTTATGTGTCTTGTGGTAGACCACCTTGTCCTTCCTGTTCGCTGAGCAGGAGTTCCCGCCGAGAAAGTGAAGGGTTTGCTGGTCCTGTCCGGCCTGCTGGATCAGAAGCAGTGGCTTGCATAAGATGGGCCATTGGGACTGGATGCCGCTGTCAGTGACACCCACCTAAAAAGGGTAAATTCAAATCCCAGATGGGGAGAAGGAGGAGGAGAAAAAGGAAGAGGGGAAGCTGGAACTGGAACTAGCACTGGGATTGGGACGAACACCGGCCAGTAAAGAGGAAGATCGACTCTTTTCTTTTTCTTCCGTTTTTACTACCTTTCCCTTTCGCGCCTTTTCTATAATTTTATTTTCCCCTTTTCGTTTAGTCAATCATTTATTTCCTACTCCATTTCAGTTTTACTTACTTTATTCCTTTTTATTTTTCCATATCTATATATTTTTCTTATTCACACAATTTACTCTGATTTGTATTTTTCCCTTCTGATCCTTATTTCCTCCATGTTTAGTGCCAATCAGCGAGCCCGGAAGCAAGGCGAAGGGGGGAGCCACGGATCGACATGGACGCCCGCCCGCGGCGCCCATTGCCAATAGTCCGCTCGGTAGAATTGGGAGGGGAGGGAACTGAACATTCCGTCCCCAGTTTGACACGCGCTACCGAATGAGGACGGAGAATGAACAACTGTGCTGCCAGGATTTAAAGCTCATCCATCAATTGCATTGGGCGGGTAAAACCCAAAAGGTGACGGTGTGTGTATTTCTCTGTATATTCCCTTGTGTACCCATCCTACCCTCCCCCCTCTACCCTCCCCCCGTGATTCAGGATAAGACTAAGGAGAATGATATCCTGATCCTGCTAGATTGGTGAGAACGCCCAAGCCTCGGACTTTCCATAACGTTTGGTTTGATAGGGTTTATTCTTACGCTACCTAGTAAGTAGTTGTACTCCGTAGTCTTAATTCGTTTCTTTTTTGTTGGGGAGGGGGGCGGTCGTCTTCCTTCTCCCCTTTCCCCTTCTTCCAGGAAGGACATACCAAGTTCCAACAGTCTCTGTGTGTTTAGATCCCAACTGAAAATTGAAGTATGGACTGGGTTTAAGGAGAGAAAAGAACGTGGTCATCTCGGAATCTCTCCAGTGATGATGTTTCTCACCTTTGCCTGCTTTATTTTCCCCCACTTCCTCCTCTTGCAACTCTCCTCTAGTATTATTCTGCTTCCCCTCATACTGTATTTTCGGGATGCGCGTCTCATAATTGGGGGCCAATACGCACCAATAATATTGGTTTATCTGCTTTTATTCATCTGCTTACGTCGTTCTCTTCCCCTCCTGAGATCAAGGTTGGTATATACTCCGGCCAGGCGTGTGCCGGAAATCGCGCTTCAAGGCAACCCCATTCCCTTCCAGGGCCAACAGGACAACGATAAAATAGCCGCACTGCAGCCTGCACTGGAGTCTAGTCTCGGTCATCGGACGCCATGTTTCTTTTGCTAGGGCTCGAGTACGCCTGCGAGGTGCATAATTGATATCAAATCGACGTGTTGTCACTCACATGGCTGACCGTTCGCGTGCCGTGCAAGGGATGAAGAACGCTATGAAGACACGACCAATGTAATGCCTCGCGAGGCCTCTGAGGGAGCCTCCTTGGGGGGTTACAAGCTCCTCAATCGGGGTTGGACAGTAGGATTGTGCTACATATTGGGGCTTCAATGAATAGACGCCAGCTCAATAGCCCGAACCACTGGACTGAGAGCCCGCAATTCTCCGTGTGGTTTCTGCAATAGGTTATGCTGGGTCCCACCCACGCAGCGTTAATACGGAGTGGATTAACGGGTGTGTGTGTGTGTGTGCCAGTTCAGGAATGTATGTGCCACATTATGCCAGCGCCGGACTGGATGGATTCGGCCGGTCGGCTCTTGGGGCCCTGCAGACCAAACCCCGGCAAACCTATGGTTGATCATGATTCAGTTCCAACATAAGAATTGGATAAGCGTGATAAACACCGGCATTGGTGGCTGAGAAGTAGAAAGTCCGCGTTGGGATGCAAGAATGGCTCTAACCGCTCTTGCCATTAGGCTGTCACTTCAAGCATGCTAGAGCGCAGAAGCGTCGGTCTAGACTAGACTGCATGGTGGTGAGAAGCACGAACAGGGGGAGGCAGATCCCACACACAATGTCCAGCCACAATGTCGAGCTCTCATCCAACGCGTCCTTATTGTCCGGGACATGCGAATAAACCACGGTGATGCTTGCTTCCAAACAAGATGTGGCTGCAGCAACAGCGCCCTGGCCAGTGGAACGACCGTGTACCTCAATGGTTAAATCACCTGAGCGCCGGAAATTTTGCAGGGGGACCCCAGTGTCGGTGATGGGCAAAAAAGTTGAATGGCTCCCTCGGATGATCTGACCCTTGGGATGAACGGAAAGATCCACCTGGATTCGCCGAGCACAGAACACGAAACAAGGCGCGTGGGCGAAGCAAGAGGAACCACTTTTGGATGGCTTTTTCGACAACGGTTTTTCCCATGGCATATGCCATGAAGCGTTAGCAGGCCGGTGTATCACCCACAATGGGATTTTCATTTGCTTTCCTTTTTCTTTCCCTTCTCTAGTCTGGCTGCCGCCCCCTTTTTCTTCAGGTCTAATTGTTGCAATTACTCCTTTGGGTTGGCCTGGACTGACCCAGCGGGAATGTTATCTGGAGTCCTGCTTAATACCGAGTCACGATACAATTTTGGGGCCGGTCCACGGGAGCCACTTGCGGGGAATTTCTCAGGTTAACGTTTTGGGCTACCATATGACAGCACCGTCCTTAGCCCCTCCCAAGCTCCATCATGGATCAATCCGAGCTCGGAGACAAAAATTGGGACCGGAAATCATTTCAGATGAGAGATGATCCCCCCTACACCATCCTCCGTCCTCAGCAAAAAGACATAGCACAGACGCACTGAGGGAAGGCGGCTATGGCAGTTGGTTGGCAGTGATGGCACATACTTTTTAGTATGCGGAATGCCCGCAAGGGATTTGATTGTACAGCCTAACTATCCTTATCCACTGGTATTACGCGCTAGGACACACGGGCGGTTCGGTTCTGGCTGTTTCTCGCTGGAAGGGAAGCTGCCAGCACGATGGATCTGCTCATTAGGGGCCGATGACTGCCAATAGTTCAAGCGACCGCGTCCCCATCCTAAGACTCAATTGGGTAAGGGGCAAAGCCATGAAGGATGATGCACCATGCAGGCTGCAGGCTGGACGCGTACGGAGAGATAGCTTAGTCTGCCACTATAATCACGATCCCCGCGTTCCCCCGGAGAGGTAATACTGGCGAATGCTCGAGCTTTCACCTCACCCACCCGTACGAAAATACGATGGGAGAGTCTCCACGCAATGGGATTGTTCCAATTGCTAGTAGACTGAGTGTTAGTGTTTAGCTGAAAACTGCGAAGGAAGCAGAGCAGATCTGCCATTTCCCCATTGGGGCTTAGCTTGGCCAGGGCCACACCAACCCGATTGGGAAACACGCAGTGCCTGACGAGGCAACGATTGGCGCCCATTATTTGTCATCTGCTCGAGGCTCAAACAGACTATCGCTCGGACTACTGACGCCGCACCGATACTAACTCGGCTCTAATGATAGCTAGATACTTATCACGCCAGCTATCGATCTATCTATATCGGTGTTGGAGCTGAGTGGGAGTTGGTGCTGGACGTGTATCCGACTGCACTCCTCATTTGCTCAGAGAACTCGGCTGCGAATACCTTCTACTCTCGGGTCACCCACTTCGATGTGACCGCCTGACTCATGGCGGATCATCTTAAGACATCAACGGGCGGAATACACACTAAACCAGAGACTAGAGCGGAGAAGGAAAGCCGAGAAGCTCAGACACGGAAAAGCTAATCCAAAAATCACCGGTGTTGACCATCGCTTCATATGGCGATCAGTCTGGTTGCACATCCGACCTCACACAACAACTGCTAGTACGTGTCCGGGCTACACAAGGATATGAGTTAATTTTCCGAGAAGGGTCTTCCCGAGAGGGCCCTAGCCATGCTTGGTTTGCGCAGAGCGACACGAGGGGCAATGATCACAGCAGACGCCTAGAGTTGTCTCTGCAACGCCTCGGATATAACTGCTTCTTGCCAACCCAACCCCGAGTCATGGGACATTGTGATACCTATCTTCTCTGTTCCGTTCCTTTGGATTGGGCTACATTGTACATGCCTTGGAATTGATTCGATCTCCGTCTAGGCGCGCGGGTATGGGTAACAGCACAGCAGTGTTGCGTGATAATTCTATCCGAATATCCGTATCGCTGTGAAGAGTTCTCAGATCACGGCGATCACTTTTTCTGCGCTTCACGCAGCTTGCGTGTGGCATAATCTACGACCCATTCAAGATTTTGGAGAAAAGGTAAGGGGGGAATTGCCACATTGCCAACGATAACAACGTACATAAACAACTGACGCAAGATCTAGTCGAGCCAGACTATTCGATCCGCCATTCGATGGACATTCGCTCTTCACCGAGGTATTTGGCGTCGGGAGTGCGTACTCCGTACGTGTTGACGGCGCTTTGAGCGGACCGAGTGAAAGGGCCACCGTAACGCGGATCGCAGCGACACGACTTCGGAATGACCGTGTACTTCTCTTAGTCCCGGCTTACGATGCTTCGGAGAAAAGAACCAATCAGTCTAACCTCGTTGCTGGCACGGTGGGTTGCGTGATCTCGAGCATGCCAACGGGTTAAGTCCTCCCAACGATATCGACGTGGCGAGTATAGACGCATCATGGCGGCTGTACATGGTATCTCATGCGCTCAGTGTGGCTGCTGTGGAACGTGCTGTCGCTACGCGCCCCGTGACAGCCCCGGTGAGGGCAAATTAGTGCTGCGTATGAAGTACGCCAGCTTGGAGCGGCATCTCACTATCGAAGACTGCGAGCTGGACGGACGTGATTGTCTGCGCGAGTCAGCAGTTGCGTAGGAAAACTTTGACTATCTTGACGGAGCGATACACGGTGACCGCGTTGACTTCAGCCTTGGCAGTGGCACTTATCCAGTCTACCGGGAGGCCAGAATTTGCGAGCGACATGGCTGCATGACGGACGTTGAGCCGGGCAGCCTGTGCTGCATTACGGAGTGACCAGTCATCTGCATGGGGCGTTGATGTTGAGCACATCCGATAATGGTAATTCAGCAGAGTGTCGGTGAGGATATGACGAGTATTGTTGTGAGTTACCTAAACTGACTTCAAAGTGTCTGCTCCTTTGAGTTTGGGCATTCCGCTTCCTAAACGCTAATCCAGCTTTTTCTCCTTTGGGTCAGTCAAAGCGATCCCTTATCGGAACGGTCCGTGAAGAGCGCCATTGCTCGCTCCACCAGCGATGGAAGGGGCAGTCAATTATTGACAACGGAGGTAAATCCTTCCATGTCTGCATATCAGACGGCACTTGAAAGCTTCCTATCTCCCTGGCCCGTGCCCTGCTACGGGGTGAATACTCCGTCTGAAGCAGGGTAGATCATCAACAGATGGCCAGTGATTATGGCTGTTCTGTAGCGGCCTGATATGAGGCTTAGACATGAGCCCATTGTAATTGCAACTGATCTGCACTGAGACTGCTGAAGTCTTAGCTGTGTATCTGCCAACTTATGTATTCTGTCAGCAGATATGTCAATCGATAGAGATCATCATACTTGGACTCACTATCATTCTGCCAAGACAATTGAGTCTATCTATCACACCAGTCTGTTTCGCTAAGGCCACTGACTGAAGTATAACAGTGCTGTTTGTCTCTGTTGATTCAACGCACTGACAGAGCCCAGTTGTGAGCTGTACTAATAGAAACAGAGCCCATTTTGATATACTCCCCAGTAGTATTATGCCAGAGGTGCTCAATCAGCCCGATATAGTTGATCATCGAAAGCTTTCTATAGACTACTTCAATTCCAGTTGTCGGGCGCAAACCAATAATCATCAGATACGGTTTTGTTCTACGTGGGAAAGGTCGATTAAATACCTGCTGACACTCTACCAGCGTAGCTAAGCCACATATTTGTCTCTGTTGGTTGCGGGTTCTACAGACATTCCCTTTGGTTTATGCTTTAGTTACTGTTCGTGATATATATGATACTGGGTAGGTCTCAGGGCTTGATTAGTATCACTCGACCAGCCTATCAACTACACTTAGACTTATTAATAAGAAGTATGAGGGATTGGCTGGGTAGTTATCGATTCCATTGGTCTAGTGAATATGAATGTATACCTTTGTCTATCTACTGTTTACTAAGTTGATTGAATTATGTTATAGGCATACTATAAAAAAATCATGGAGATGCCATTATTATACCCTAATACTCAATGTATATCAACCACACCACTATACACACCAACTATACCCTTATCCCTAATACACTCCACAATCAACATCAACATAGTAACCACCACCCCCTACACCCAACTACCACCACATACTAGATACTACGTAGGAACAACCCTAATCTCCCCCTCCCCCCTCCCGACCCTCCAAAAATTACTCCACCTCACCACCTCCTCAACACACCCCTCAACCACCCACCCCCACTTCCTCAAAAACCCCGGCGTCACCTCCCAACTCTCCTTACAATGCGGCTCGCCCCAGACAATCCACCCATTCCTAGCATTTCCCGAAACCTCACCATCATCATCGCCATCATCAACCTCAATCACCACCCTTCCCCCAATCCTCCCATTAACATCATCCCCATCCCCCGCATTCGAACCACCATCAAACAACTCCCACCCCTCCATAACATACCCCCCCACCAAATCCCTCACAAACTCCCCATGGTCAAAGCACATTTCCCACCGAATGAGGTTCTCGCGCATACGCGGCCACGGCAGGAGATCTATCCACGAGTAGTGGGTGAGGGTTCGTTGAGAGGGTGTGGGGAAGAGGGTTGCGGGAATAGGTGAGGGACAGGTGTTGGGGATGGTGGTGGCGTAGATGGGGAAGATGAGGCCTTCGTGGATGAGGTGGATGGATGAGTTGGGGGTTGGGCCGGGCAGGAGGGCTGTGGAGTGATTGTAGAGGAGGGTTTTGTTGGTGTAGAGGGCGCGGAAGACGTTGTGGGTTATTAGGTGGAGGAGGTGGTCGGGGGGGATACTTGGTGATGAGGAGGTGGGTATGGAGGGTTCAGTGGTTGTTTGTGATTGTGTTTGGGGTAGGGTGGGTGAGTGGTGTTTGGTTAGTGAAGTTGATGATGTCTCGTGTTCTGAGACTCGCCAGCGGTGGACGCTGTATGGACGGGTAGGTTGGTCCTTGTGTTGCTGGTGGTTATTCTTGAGGCGAAGACCTGAAGGGGATGGTTAGTTTGATGTATGTATTTGTTTGAGGGATACTCACGACGTGCTCGCTGGTTTACTCGGTTCTGGAGCTTCTTGCGCTGCCGTTTCTCGTCTGCGGGTGTGGATGACGGCATCGTCGAGATAGGTAAATTTGTCAGCTGGTGAGGGATTAACAATATCCAAGAAGTCTGTAGACTCTCCTGTGTCTCTTATCTTCGTATATATCACGAAGAGACTAGATCCAAAGAGGCAAAAACGGTCAGCCATGAAGTCAAAGGAAGATGAAGCCAGATGATGACCCCGTCGAGCTAACCCGAATAGGAAATAATGTCAGCCATTACTTCTGCCTTGATTGTTGTAGATTTCTCTTTCTGCATCATTGTCAACCTGCAGAAAACAATATAAATATGCCTGCTATGTCTACTCAGAATGCAGTCTCTTCATCAAACATTCAATGCACTCACCTCTTCTCATATCATCCAAAATGTCTTACTCTGCCGTCCACGCCACCCCCAAGGGCCCGGGTGATGCCCGACCCACAG